TTAAACCGGTACAGAAAACATAATACAGTGATAAAGAGGTGACCAATAGAGCTTTAGGGTTTGAGAACAATAAAATAAAAAAAAGTCTGAAGGTACTACTGTGTAGTAAGCAGGCAGAGTGGAAGGAGCTCCATCTGGCATCCGCATTTCGGTCCCTCTGTGACGGCTCAGCTGGGACAGGAGGTACTGGGGGACTAAGAGAAAGTCCGTTAGCTGGAACTTCAGCTGCCAGCGCTTGTGGAACTTGAAGGAAGAAACCCTAGGAAGGAGAGAGCCAGAAAGGGCAAAGCGAGCAAGAGCTCTTCAGGTCCCTGAAATCACTTCTTTTACTGCCAGGTTTTACCCGTGCCCCCACCAAAAAATGAAAAATAAAAAAAATGAAGAAGAAAATAATTATAGGTCCTGATTGTGTATGCAAAGATACAGGCAGGAGAATGTGACCCCGCATGCAGGGGAAGCAAAGTGAACAAGACAGACCGAAGGAGGAATTGAGAGGAAGAGCCAGTGAACTCAAAAGTAAATAACAGATACCTTTACAAATCCTCCGGAGGATGTATATTTGGAAGTAATGAGGCAGGAAATATTAGCATAGACATGAACGTTAGGACTGAAGCAAAGGGACAGTGAATCTCTGACAAAATATCCAAGTGAAGGAAGGGTTCCAGGAGTCCCTTCCAACAGCACACAGGGCGGGAGAGCCAGGCAGCTTCGTGGGAAAAGGACGCCTGTCGCGTTCATACCAGGCACACAAGTGAAAGCCAACAGATTAAAATCCTCCATATTGCACCCAAATCCATAAAACACATCGAGGAGAACAGGAAAATTCTCCATGAAATTATCTTTAAAAGCGTCTTCGGTGATCTCATTCTATTGGCCAAGAAGACAGACGTGAAAACAAACAGATTTACATTAGAGTAAGAAGTTTCTCCACTGTGAAATAAATTAGAGTTAGAAAACAAGACACCCTACCGATGGAGAGAAAATACTCGTTTACCACACCTTGGACAAGACCGATATCCAACATTTAGGAAGCACTCGCAAAACCTGGCAGTAAATAAACATCCAAAAACATCCTCCCTCCCCCAAAAATCCAAACAATGGAGAGATTGGAAAAGACACATCAGATCTCTAAGCGTCCAAGAAGGTATAAGGAAGTGAACAGGCAGATACAAGACTGCTCTCACTTATCATCATGGAAACTCAAATCCAAACAGCAATGAGATATCACACCCCAAACCAGTGAGACTGGCATTGCCAAAATGTTTTATTATTTTATTTTTATATACTTTGGGCCACCCCAGCTGTGCTCAGGGCTTACTCCTGGCTCTGTGCTCAGGCATGATTCCTGGGAGGACTTGAAGGACCATATAAGGTTCTGGGGATCAAATCCTGGTTGGTTGTGCGCAAGGCAAGTGCCCTGCCCACTTTACGGTTGTTCTGCACAAGTCTCACAACAGAGACGTTACTGGGCCCACTCGAGCAAATCGATGAACAACAGGAGGACAGTGCGACAGTGCTGCACCCATACTAAGGAAGCTTTCAAAACAAGCAATTATGGCAGATATGTAGGACAGAAGGAAGCCTCGTCTACTGGCAGTGGGGACACCGTCTGAGCTCAGCCTCTGTGGGATATCATATAAAGATGTGAGAGTTTCCACATGACCCAGCAATTCTTCTTCTTGGAATCTAACCTAAGAGCCCAGAAAGAATATTTCAAAAAGATATCTGCCCTCCTATCTTCCCTACAATGTTCACTATTCATAAGAGCTAAGATTTGGACGCTGATGTCCAATGACAGAGAATGGATAAAGACTTTTTTTTTGTGCATATGCAATCTATGTGCAGTGAAACACTACGCAGTGTTCATCAAAGGTGAGATCTCTGATTCTGAGAGAACGCCAGGGCACCATCTGCGTGAAGTCAGTCCCAGGGAGAGGGACAAATGCGGGGTCCTCCCTCTCCTGCTGGACTACAGGAAACACAGAAGCGACTGGAATATGGCTGTGGTAACAGGTAATTGACCCCAGCCTGAGTCTCCTAGGGGGGAGACCCAGTGGAGGGGCCCTCCCGCACATTGCATCATCAATCAGTATTTCACTGCATGTGAAACCATCGTCCTAACACAAAACACGGGGGAAGTGAATGGAAAGAAACCTCAGCACTAATGTAATGTAATTTCCCTCCCATTGATCATCGATTTGCTCGAGCGGGCCCAGTAACGTCTCCATTGGAGATTTTGTTACTGTGTTTGGCATATCGAATACGTCACGGGGAGCTTGCCGGGCTCTGCCGAGTGGGCGAGATACTCTTGGTAGCTTGCCGGGCTCTCCGAGAGGGGCAGAGGAATCGAACTCGGGTCAGCCATGCTGGCTGCGTGCACGGCAAACGCCCTACTGCTGTGCTATCGCTCCAGCCCTGATATACACAATACATGTGATTTATTATACAACCTCAGCACCGATATACACAATACATGAAATCATATAAGGCATGGGATGGAATTAAACACAGACTGGAGAGAATGTGAAAAATATCTGTGAAATTTAAAGAGGGATCACTATCTACTCCAAGATACACAACACACACACACACACACACACACACACACACAGGCAAGAGAGAACTGACAAAAGCAGCAGAGAGCTATAGGAACCTATAAACTATCATGTGACAGTTAAAGAAAAAAAATGTCAACTGGGATGGAAAAAAAATTTGAAAAATGATTGAATCTTTCCCAAATGTTCTTGAAATTGGGAAAGAAAAAAAGTTTAGAAAAAATGATTAAAGCTTTCCCAAATATTCTTTAACTACAAACCCCCTGAAATCTCAGAGTATCTTAATCAGGATAAAATTATAAGGAAGTTCACACTTGGGTACATCATACAAAAATAAGATTTTAAAGAAAAAATCTTCAAAACGAGCCAGAGCAAAGAGACATACACTGAAGTACGATTATGGCTGGCTTCTCATCATGAAAAAAAAATGATGCTATAAGACAACTGAACATTTAAAAAAATCTGAAAAATACACTTGTTAATTTAGAACTCAGCAAAACCGTCTCTGAGAAGAGAAGCCAAAGTAAGGACATTTTCAGGAAAAGGTTGAAAGAAATCTGCTGCTAATACACTTTAAGAAATGTGAAATGAAGCCCTTTGCATTGACACAAAATGATATCAGATGGATATTGCCCAATGAATGTGAAACATTGGAAATGGTATCTAGATGAGAATATCTAATATTTTTATTTAAAAATTTGAATAATTAACTATTTAAACTAAAGTATTTGCCACCTATGAGGTGTATAACATGCAGAAGTATAATGCGCCATAGCAAAAAGCATAAAAGACACGGATATATGTAAATTTTGTTGTCATGAGGTTTATAGATTGTGCAGAAATGGAACAATATTAATCCAAAGTGCACTGATAAGCGTGAGACTGTAAGTAGGGGAGTCGTCTTTGTTGTTGTTCTGTTTCGGGGGCCACACCCAGCGGTGCTCGGGGCTTATTCCCGGCCCTGCACTCAGTGGTCACTCCTGGTGGGCGAGGGGGCCACGTGGGAAGCTGGGACGGCACCCGGTCAGCCGTGGGCAAGGCGAGCACCTACCTGCTGTATTACCACTCGGCCCAAAGCCCTTCTTTTGAGAATGAAAGTGGTAACCGTAAGCACCAAGAGAAGAAACGGGAGAGGCAACGGCCAGAGAAGTGCTCAGTGGGCTCAAGGGAAGATGGGAAGCGTGGGGCTGGGGAGGAAGGAGACGGAACAGTCGGGACACTGGTGAGTGGTGCAAGTGTCGGCCTCTGTAGGCTGCACGACCCCCGGAATACAGAAGGGCGCGGGAGGGTGATGACTGCTGAGGTGGGCACAGGGGAGAAGTGTGGCTGACGGCATGGAACGGTGAAGGCGAGAGTACCACGGAGGAAAGGGGAGTTTATTAGTGTAATAAGAGGATCAAGCAGGAGGACAACGCAAACACGAAGACGATGCACCAAATAACATTCTAAACCCGTGAGGCAGAAGGAGTACCAGCTGTCAGCCTCTCCTCAAAAGGACAAATGTCACAGACGGAGAGAAGCTCTGAGGACTGGATCATGCGGTAGTTAGCCTCTGGCACCCATGGGTCTGATCCCTCACAAGCCAACCTCCTGAGCACTGCTAGGAGTGGCCCCTGGGAGCAATGTGGCAGGAGTTTCGCCCTACAAAGAGACGATTCTGACTCATAAAGTTCAATCATTGTATTAAAAATACTTTAACATTTTTAAGACTATCTAATAGAAACGGGCTGGAGCGATAGCACAGCAGGTCAAGCATTTGCCTTGCATGTGGCCAACCCAGGTTCGATTCCTTCACCCCTCTCGGAGAGCCCAACAAGCTACTGAGTGTAACCTGCCCGCACAGCAGAGCCTGGCAAGCTCCCCAGGGCGTATTTGATATGCCAAAAACAGTAACAAGCCTCACAATGGAGACGTTACTGGTGCCCGTGTGAGCTAATCGATGAACAATGGGAGGACAGTGATAGTGCTAAATGTTGGAGGGTGGTAACTGCATGGAGGACTCCGGGAAGAAGAGTCCCCTTGTAGAAGTTCCCAGTCCCAGGCCAGGAGACAATCCAGCACCTGCCTTGCCTGTGACCAACCACGGTCTAATGCCCAGCAGCAAACATGGTCCCCCAGACCCTGCCAGGAGTGATCCCTGAGCACAGAACCAGGAGTAAGCCCTAAGCACTGCCAGATATGGCCCCAAAACAATTTTTGTAAAAATGCAGTACCCGATTCTAATTCATATTCTGATTATTCTTACACTGTCAGCAGTTCGGCAAAAATCAGAGCTTCTTGATAAAATAGTTCTAAAAATGCACGTAAGATTAAAAACAGCCATCGTGTAAACATTTTCTCTTTCTAATATAACTGTCCATACAACAATATCCCATCTCCCTTGTTAAGACACAGATGCGTTCCGGGTGAGACTCGGGGCCCCGAGCTCCGGAAGCCCGTTCTTACCGGTGCGACTGGTTGTTGAGGTTGAGCGAGCCCGTCTGGTACATCTCCTCCAGCTGCTTCCGGTTCCCGAAGTACAGGGCGAGGTCCGTGGCGATGATGGCTTTGCGGATGATCTCCAGCACCTGCTCGTACTCGCTGGAGCTCAGGCTGGAGAAGATGTTGTGCCCCTCCAGCTGTGGGGAACACGGCAGTGAGCAGACGGCTCTGAGAGCACACGGCAGAGTGCGCTATCGTCAGCAAGTGCTCCAAGGGCCAGAGCCTGGAGCACACGGCAGAGTGAGCCGTAAGCAAGGATCTGAGGGCCAGAGCCCCGAGGGCCGGCCTAAGGCGGCTGGTACCCAAAGCACAGGTTCAAGAAAAACAAAAGGATGGTCCGAGCGCATATGCTGCCCGAGCCCATCTGCTGCTTGTGCCCACGTGGCCAAGCACATCCCTCTTGAGATGTGGACTTGCATGCTTTCGTGTCTAATGTCTAATGCTAGGATGTGTGTAGGGGCTCTCTCTGTCCTTGGAGAAGCTCGTGTTCTCTCTTGAGTACGTTTCTCTCTCTCTCTCTCTCTCTCTCTCTCTCTCTCTCTCTCTCTCTCTCTCTCTCTCTCTCTCTCCCCCCCTCCCTCCCTCCACACCTTAAACATCCTCCAAATAAAATCTATTTGTTTCAAAAAAAAAAAAAGGATGGTTCAAATTGCCTAATGAGGTAAGCGGCCAGTTAGACGTGTCTGTCGAAACCACGCCCAAAAGCTACGAAAATTACAGGAACATCTTCTGCTACTATAAGATTCCACTGATTGAAGTATACACTACCCAATTGAAAAAGCATTTCCAGTAAGTGAAGGACTTAAAACTAAAGTCTTTATTATCAGTTAAGACTGGAAATTAATGGGCTCAATTAACTGCATCATGGAATAACAACCTTTCTAAGGCCTCGAATAAAATGTTCCACAACCCCCAAGTGATGCCTGTCAGGGATGAAGAAGCCACGCGGTCAGCGCACGGTCACTGATGCGTGAGCTCCGACCTGCCCCCTACTGGGGCTCCTCAGAGATGGCCCTGCAGAGCGACACCCCCAGACGACGGGGCATCTGGACCCCATCAGCTCACCGTCACCCTTCTGCACAGGGGGCTCTGAAAACCTTTTTTACACTATTTTTTCCGAGATGGTAAGTTGGTGCTCATTAACTGACATCAAAATGGGTTGTTTTTAGTGAAGTTTAAAAAAAGGGGGGGGGTGAGGGAGGGTTGCCACAGACGCCTTCAGTTTGTGTAATTGTCAACTTTTAAAACTAACTTCATTATTCGTCAATACAGCTTAGGAAAAGTTCATTTTTAGTTGTTATCTCTTGCCTTAAGCTTGACGTATTGGCTGATGGATGAAATACTAAAAACCTCAAAACATTAAACATTTCTTCTCAAAACTAAATATCTGGCAATGGCTTCACTTCTCACGGCAGTGGAATAAGGCTGTGGGTGGACCACACGTTTTCAGTCATCAGACGATGCTACCGTGTATGTGGAAGGGTTCATACACACAATGACAAGGGCAGCAAATGCAGTTAGTTCCGGAAAATCACTCATGACACGTGGCTTTTGGAGAAAGCTCTTCCACATGCATGATTTCACTTCGAATGGTGAAATGTAAGAGACCGGGATCTCTATCTGAAGCATTTGCTGAAACACTAACGAGACTCTCCCCGACACGAAGAGAAACCTGTGCTTCTTGCATCTGCCGTTTGAGCGGACCCTAACAATGCCATCTGGCTTGAGGGGGTCTCCTGGGGTAGGGAAAGGGCCAAAGACCGACGCTCTCATGGGCCACACAAGGCAGAGCCCTCTCAGTGCTGCAGAACGGGCGATGGGTGAGGACCGTGGGGGATCCACACGACCCGCGAAACCCATGCTGACAGCTGGGATGTGTGAGTGGGCAGCCTCGCCCACCCCGGCCAGGCGTCTGCGCTGCTCTGCTCCCTGGGGGACACTGACCCGCACGCCCAGCCCCAAGAAGGTTCCAGACGGGAGCGAGTCGGCTCGGTGCTGGGGCCTCAGATACCCACGAGCACATCTTCGCCCTCCACCTCCAATAAACTGTGATGTCCAGGGTGAACGATGATTCCTGCCTGTCATCCGGGCTTCCTTAAATCCCTGAACTAGGCCTTTTATTTTGCACGCATTGGCGTGTGGCCCAGAGAATCGGGACCCTGTCTGTGCTACATCCCAAACCTGCGGAACTCCTGCATGAGCTCGGGTCTCTGAGGAGTGCCACGAACTGATCCATGAAGAACTATTTTACTTCTTGGCTTTTGTTTTGGGCCACACCTGGCGATGCTCAGGGCTTCCTCCTGGCTCTGCACTCAGGAATGACTCCTGGCGGTGCCTGGGGGCCCATATGGGATGCTGAGGATGAAACCTGGGTTGGCTGCATGCCAGGAAAATGCCCCCCCCCCCATACTGTGCTATCACTCCGGCTCCCTTAAGAGCTGTTTTTGTTTTTTGTTTTTTGTTTTTGTTTTGATTTTTGGGTCACACCCAGCAATGCACAGGGGTTTCTCCTGGCTCTGCACTCAGGAATTACCTCTGGCAGTGCTCAGGGGACCATACGGGATGCTGGGAACTGAACCCGGGTCAGCCACATGCAAGACAAATGCCCTACCCGCTGTGCTATGGCTCCGGCTCCCTTAAGAGCTGTTTTAAAGGCACTGATTTTGGCCGGACTCATTAAATGTTCCTTTGGTTACTTTTCAATATTAAAAAAAGTGGGGCAAGTTCAGAGGGCTTCGGAACGGCAGGCCCAGCACTCACTGCCACCTCCCTCTCTCCATACTGCCCAAGGGTCAGGGGAATAAATCACAATCACAATCACGACCATCCTGTTATTCGTCGATTGCCTCGAGCAGGCCCCAGTAACGTCTCTTCGTCCTAGCCCTGAGATTTTTTTAAAAAGTGCCATATTCAAGGCCCTTTCAGAGTTAGGAGAATGAGACCCATCCTTGTGACTGGTATTTGGCATATTGGGTACGCCACGGGGAGTTTGCCAGACTCTGCCAGGGGGTTAAATGAAAACATACAAATCAGCATAAGAAGGAGCCCCCACCCCTCAAGAGCAGCCCACACGCCTCTCGGAGTTTCAGTCTGACGGAAAGACAGTGAGCGAGGCGGGCTCCTCGAGGAGCTCTTGGCCCACCAGCGACTCTGTGAGAGCCCCTGGTAAGGCGCTGCTCGCATGACCAGGCCCTGCAGGGGGCTCAGGGGCTTCAAGGCCACAGCCTGCAGGGGGACCGAGGGACCACGAGGTGCTGGGGGCTGAGCGAGGCCCAGCCACGCGTCAGGCCTGCGCCTTAACCCGAGACCATCTCTCTGCCCCCAACACCATGGGTTTGGGAGATGAAAACTCTCGGTTTCAATCCCGTTCTGTCACCTGCTAACGGTGCGCCAAAGGGCTGATGTAATCTTGTGGGCATCACTGCTTCTGTAAAAGGAAAACGAGTAATGCCTCTCTTGTGGGTAACTGGAACAATTCCGAGTAACTACAAGTGCAAGTTCTAAGGTTCCCACTGCTGGTGAACTGGTGGCCGTGACGATGTGGGGCAGGTCAGCCAGGAGACCTGCAGCCCGAGCTCAGGGACAGGGGAGGACCCCACGCATGGCGGGAGTGATGTGCAGGGGCCTCCCCCCACCTCAAACTCCGTGTGGGGAGGCGCCGCGGAGCAGCCTGTGTGGAACTGCAGACTCCGGGGAAGGCAGCGTCGCTGCTGGAGCAGCAGGAACTACACTTCGTTCTGCAGACAGCAGATGACTTGGAAGAACGCGTTAATTACCACAGAAATGTTATCGCTATAAAAAGTTCGGAAAATGTCAGGGGACCCCAAGATGTTGGGTGCAAAAGCAGTCTGAACAGACTTCAAGTGTGAGACTAATAGCAACTGAGAATAACCATCCTGAACTGGTCTGCTCCATAAAATCCTGCTTCGGCGTACTGAGAATGGAACCGTCACGGACAGCGGAAGGTGACAGACCCGCTGCCCTGCGGGAGCAGCAGTCTCACACTATAAAGGCACGTGCTTGGCAGCAGGGTAAGCAAACCTCGGGGACCCCGTTCTCGGGTGCCCCAACTTCTGAGCAGTGGCTCCTGGCCCCAGGGGTCTCGCGTGCTTTCCGGGCTGAGGCCCTGAACCCTGCGTCCCAGGAGATGCAGCTGCTCCTGTCTGGATAGAGCTGGCTTCTGGCCTCTCTGGGTGCCCACATCAGAGACCTCCCGCTGCCCCCAGGCCTGGGGCTCAGGGTGGGGTGGGGGTGCTGCCGTCACCGGGCTGCAGTTCAGAGGAGGAGGGCACCACGCTCACAAGCACATTCCAGCACCAGGTGGGAAACCAGAGGCGCATTCATTTAGGGGCTCAGGACCCCACTGCCCGGGGGCCGCGGGAGGAGTGCCGGTGGCCTGCGTCTCACTGAGGGGGGGGGGGAGGAGGAGGAGGAAGAGGAAGAGGAGGAGGAGGAGTGGTGGGACGCGGTGGGGAAGCAGGACCCAGCACAGGCGCCAGGGCTCTTCTGGACACGCTGAACAGCCACAGCCCCGGGCCTGAGGCCTCGTGCGCCAGCTGAGAGTCGGGGTCACTCCCCACCCCAGGGGGCAACAGGAGGGGAGGGGTCGACCAGTGGAGCTCAGATGGGGCCAGGTGTGGGGGCGCGGGTGCCGGGAGGGAGGGCCGAGGGCGTCTCACTCTCACACGGCCATGCTGCAGGAAGCCCACCGCCTCTTGGGGAAGGTGGCCCCGGCAAACAGCTCCTCGCCGAGGGACAGGCGGGCAGCTTGGGCCGCCCGGGTTCTGAGTCTCGACAGCACTGCACGTGGTGTGCGCCTACAAGGACGTGGGGGCAGGGCCCACGCAGATGTGTCCAGATGCAGAGAAACAGGGCAGATCCCTGCATGTGGATGCATGCCCCTGTCCTGCGGGGCACCGAGCCCGGGGCCCGGGAAAGCGAGCATGCGGCCATGAGCTCCCCACGTGGATGCCAGGCTGCGCCGGTGCTGGGAGCACTTCCCAGGGAGCACTGCCCAGGGAGGCCAGTGAGGAGCCCCTGGGGCAGCAGGACGGGGTGCCTCCCCCTGGTTCCCAGGGTGAGGCCTGGGCTCTGCAGGAAAGGGGACCGGGGCCCAGAGCTCAAATCTTCCTCACCCAGCAGCCAGCAGTGGCCAGAGGCTGGGGCGCCCCTGACCCCCAAGTGAGGGTTCTGACCCAGACAGGCTGACGGCAGCGGCCAGAAACCAGGCCCGCCATCAAGTCGGGCGTGCACTAGGTTCTGGGGCAGCCTGGGGGACTGGGCGTCCAGTGCCCGAGGCGGGAAGAGGCCGTGTCCGCCCTACGCCAGGAACGTCTCCGAGCCAATCAAGGGAAAAGCGCAAAGGGAGAAACGGCCGCACGTGCATGGGAACCCGCGACCCCCAACTCGGGGACCGCAAAGCCGAGAGCACCCCAGTCGGGCACGGGCGAGTCTTGTGGCGCCAGCCGCAGGGCAGGGTCTGTCCGGCTCCCCTTGGGCGCGGGCTCACCTGCAGGATGGACACGGTCTGCGAGAAGTGGTGCTGCTCCATGGTGGACGTGGAGTAGAGGGCGGCCAGCGGGTGGTCGAACTTCTGCAGGTAGCTGTTGCTGAAGCCCCGGTGGTCCAGGTCGTGGCACAGGCAGGCGATGAGCAGCCCCTTGCGCTGCGGGGAGAGACAGGCACACGTGTCCCCTGGGCACACGGGTTCCCCAGCACACGTGTTCCTGCAGCACGCATGTACCCGGAGCACACGTGTTCCCTGGAGCAAACGTGTTCCCAGGAGCATATGGGTTCCCTGGAGCACACGTGTTCCCAGGAGCACACGTGTTCCCAGGAGCACACGTGTTCCCAGGAGCACACGTGTTTCTAGGAGCACACATGATCCCTGGAGTATACATGTTCCCAGAGCACACATGTTCCCAGAGCACACATGTTCCCCAGAGCACACGTGTTCCCGGAGCACACGTGTTCCCTGGCACACATGTGTTCCCTGGAGCACACATGTTCCTTGGAGCACACATGTTCCCAGAGCATACATGTTCCCAGAGCACACGTATTCCTGGAGCACACCTGTTCCCCAGAGCACTCATGTTCCCCAAGCACTCATGTTCCCAGGAGCACACATGATCCCTGGAGCACATGTGTTTCCAGAGCACACGTCTTCCTAGAGCACACGTGTTCCCGGGGCACCAGCTCTGGCTCCCTCGCCCTCACAGCGGCCTGCAGAGAATCTCAGTGCTCCGTCACGCCTGTCCTTGAGCTGAGCAGCTGGCGGTCACCCACTCTGGAGCTCCTCAGAGGCTGTGGGGGCCGCGGGCTCCTCCACGCCACAGGCGCCCACCGTGCGCTAACCTGCCAAGCTCCGACTGGCGAGTTTGGTTAAAAGTAAGAATCAAGTAATTCCCCAAGAATTACCCTTGTTGGCCACTTTTCTCCATGACTAAATCAAACAATAGTTTTTACTTGCTCCACGGGAGAGCAAACACCTCTTTATAAAGCATATTTTCGATACAGTCATGTTATTTGGGGATCATTTTCAGTCAAAAACATCTGAGTTTAAAACTATGTAACTCTAAAAAGAGGAGCCAACTGAGCAACACAATTTTATTCGTCAAAAGTTGCCACTTCTGAATACAAATCTAACTGTAATTCGGAAATATAAACGCCACAGTTCTCCGACCCACCAGCTGAGTTAGGGCAGAGAGTAAGGCGTTGCTTTCTCAACGGCCTGAAGGAGAAAACGCCGGCGCTCAAGTGTATTCTGGGGAACACGTGCGATCGGACTATCTGTGACGGGCGAAACTCTGAGACCGCTGGCACCCACTCATCAGCTAGATAAAGCCCCTTGCGTCTCGGGCAAAGGAAAACCTCCGGGAGGGGCCCTGCGAGGCCGCCAGCTAGAGCCAGGATGGTCCTGAGAGAAAAAGGGGGTGGGGGAGGCTCCATGGGGGAGACAGGAGTGGGAGACGGGAAGGGGGTCCCAGACGGCCCCTCAGGGCAGGAACCGGGGAGGGGCTCAGGGGGGGCTCCATGGGCTGGGACCAGGCGGGCAGCAGCTTTTCTCCCCACTTCTCTGCCCTGGAGGCAGAGGCTGCAGCGTCTGTGACGCTGGTTCTGCAGAATCTGAGCGGGAGCCTGGCTGGGGCTTGTGGCGTGAGGCGGTCAACGCACACGCGAGAACAGCCTCCAGGCCTCGGTGTCCCCACCCTGGGTATGAGCCAGCTCTGGGAGCCAGAGATCTTGCCCAGACGCCCGCCTGTGGCGAGAGGAGGCAGGGTCGGGGTCAGTGGGCTCGGGGCGCACCCACCTCCAGGTCCGTGAAGAGCCCTTTGTTGTTCTGCAGGATGGCGTACATGCAGTGGGCAACCGTCACCGCGTGCTTCCAGTTGTGGTAGGGAACCCGCCGGTAGTTCTTCTTCACTGACATGATGAAGCGGCAGAGCTTCTCCAGGTCAAAGCTGCAGGCAGGAGACACCCAGGCTGAGGCGCGTCCCTGAGACACCCTGGGCTGAGGGTCACGTCCCCGAGACACCCTGGGCTGAGGGTCACGTCCCTGAGACACCCTGGGCCTAGGGTCACGTCCCTGAGACACCCTGGGCCGAGGGTCATGTCCCTGAGACACCCTGGGCTGAGGGTCACGTCCCCGAGACACCCTGGGCCGAGAGTCACGTCCCTGAGACACCCTGGGCTGAGGGTCATGTCCCTGAGACACCCTGGGCCGAGGGTCATGTTCCTGAGACACCCTGGGCCAAGGGTCACGTCCCTGAGACACCCTGGGCTGAGGGTCACGTCCCTGAGACACCCTGGCATGAGGGTCACGTCCCTGAGACACCCTGGGCTGAGGGTCACGTCCCTGAGACACCCTGGGCCGAGGGTCACGTCCCTGAGACACTCTGGCATGAGGGTCACGTCCCAGAGACACCCTGGGCCGAGGGTCATGTCCCTGAGACACCCTGGGCTAAGGGTCACGTCCCTGAGACACCCTGGGCCGAGGTTCATGTCCCTGAGACACCCTGGGCTGAGGGTCACGTCCCCGAGACACCCTGGGCCGAGAGTCACGTCCCTGAGACACCCTGGCATGAGGGTCACGTCCCTGAGACACCCTGGGCCGAGGGTCACGTCCCCGAGACACCCTGGCATGAGGATCATGTCCCTGAGACACCCTGGGCCAAGGGTCATGTCCCTGAGGCACCCTGGGCTGAGGGTCATGTCCCTGAGACACCCTGGGCCGAGGGTCATGTCCCTGAGGCACCCTGGGCCGAGGGTCACGTCCCTGAGACACCCTGGGCTGAGGCCCCAAGGACATAGGCAGTGTCGTGAGGAGTGGCTCATTCCACTGGCTGTATCAACCCAAACACTCCATCGGCACAGTGCTCGCAGAGGACTGGCAATGGACCATGTCCGAATCCCGACAGCCTTTCTCATCCAGTCACTGGCTGTCAGGACTTAGCTCAGGCCCCAGCAACCATCTTGAAGGACTCACGACAGCTTGAACAAAGTGTCTCCGCCTAGCACCGAGAAGAGGAAACTTAGGGACCGGAGTGTGGGCTCAAAGGGAAGAGCACACGCCTGCACGCGGACCCCCACGGGGCACTGAGTGCCCAGAGCAGGGAGAGTGGAAGAGAGGAGCCCTTGCCTCTCTGCGTGCCTGCCCCAAACGAGGGTTCATAAAACATTCAAATCAATAACCTGCATTTTTCTCTTTGCAAAAATTTCAGTGACCCTGAAGTACAGGAGAGCCCTGTTAGGAATTCCAGTTGGCAATTTCTTAAGAAAGTCACTCGGGTTCCCCCTGAGAGACCGGGGTCCACTCAGGAGTCTACTCAGCCGAGGGGGAGACGCCGAGCCTCTGACTGGCCCTTGACAAATGAGCCCGGGGAAGAGAGAGAAGTCACGCCTGCAGTTAAGTGTGTTGAGCTGTGAACAATCACATACAGGCCATAGGGCGCTGCAAAGAGGCCGGGGAAAGAGGGAAGCAGGACTCAGCAAAGGAAATGCTGACCGGGTCAGCACCAGGACGCCTGCTGCCTCTTGGGTGTTCTCTACTGACTCGGACATTAAAACACACAAGTTCACCCCAAGTCGGTGCTCATTCCAGGCACTGCATGAGGGGGCCTGAGCACGGCATTCAGCTGGGCAGTTCCCAGTCTCGGTCAGCCACAGGCACCTGAAGCTCCACACCGTCAGGCACCCGCACCGAGACTCCCCTAAAGTCCCCTGCACCTCCCCCTGTGGTCCCCTGCCCACCCCTCACTCCTACAGTCCCCTCATGCCCACCCGCCCCTGAGTCCCGGCACCTCCACTGTGTCCTCCCCTGCCTGTCCTCCATGCCCTCGCGGAACGGGACAGCCACACGCCAGCACCCTGACGCCGTCCTGGAAGCCCTGCCCTTGGTGCCAGCAGCTGACCCTCTTCTGCTTTGTTCTGCTTGGTGGCGGGAGCCCAGCCAGTGGTGTCGGGCCTTACTCCTGGCTCTGTGCTCGGGATCCTTCTGGGGCGGGTGAGGGGCCAGATTCAGTGCCCGGGAGTGAGCCAGGTCCGGTATGCTCAGGCAAGTGCCTGAAGCTCTCAGGTCCGGAGCCCCCTTTCAGACTAGAGAGCACGAGATGCCCTGTTCTGAGGGACCCTGACCAAGAGGCGGGCCACGTGGCGGGGAGGGCCCTGAGCATCACTTGGGCTTGAGAGTCGGGGGTTCCTACCAGGACTGCCCGCAGGACCGGTGCACCATGTAGACGAAGATCCCCGGCCACATGTTCTCAAAGGGACCGATGTCAAAGTGGAAGCTGCAAGCAGAGAGCCAAGTAAGTGCCCGTCAGAGCGTGCCGGGAAACAGTGATTCCGCCCCTCACTGTCCACCAGAACATCTCAGAGTCAGTGGGGTCTGTGGGCGCCTCTCCGTCCCTGCTCACCACCCCCCACAGAGGGGGCGCCCGTATTTAAGCTGAGACTGAGCTTTCTGTTAAACCACCCGTGAAAGAGGTTCCGCGGGGATGTCAAAGCAATGAAAAAGCTTTTAAAACATCGTGCATATTACACATGCACATTATACCCACAACTCACTGATAAGGTCTGCAAACTTTATCAGGAGTATTTTTGGCCATTTAACATTGCACTGAGTTGTCCAACAGATTTCTGAATTACATGCACACATAAAAATACATAATCATATGCAGACAAACAAAGAACCTAAGGCCACTGGGCACCAGCAGGCTAGAACACTTCCAGTTCTGCACAGAAGTAATTTTTAAATATTTATTCTACTTAAATCCAGATTTTTTGAAAAAAATATAAACACCCAAGTCACCCCCGAGCTGTCGCTGGCTGACAAAGTGGCCACAGGAGCTGCTTCCCTTCAGCCACCAGCTTCCTGACATGAAGCGTGAGTGGCCGGCATGCCAGCCGCCCAGGACTCCGCGGTGTGGGTGGGCGTCCTGCAAGTGCTGGGCTCGAGGTTCGCAGAGCCAGCACCGACCTCACAGGCCCAGGGTTCTGCCCCTGCTCTGGACGCTATTCCTGAGTCCAGCAGCTCTGACCAGTGTACTGCAAACCATCAGGGAACTTGGGAGAACCCTTACTCACTAGGACTGGCCACTGCAAACTGGGAGAGATGCACAGGGCAGGGCAGGGGAGGGCTCTGCTGCCCCTCCTGACAGAACCATCTCTGGCCACCGGTCACTGTCTCCCCCTTGTTCCTGCCTTCCTGGGTGGGGCTGGTCAAGCAGTTGGTTACTCTGATGATTATCCCCACCCGTTCATCAGCCCAGGTGCAGGAGTGGCTGGGAAAAGCTTATCAGAAATAACGGATGAAGCCCCTCACTCAGGTCACTAGGACACCACCAGGGCTTGGGACCCCGTGCCAGGGACCTGCGAGTAGGCCCCAGGCCCATTTCCTATGACAGCATGGCCCATGCCACTACTGGGGGCGCATTAAAGATCTTTAAGAGATCACCTGAGCAGAACCCGACTGGAATGAGGCCAGGCTAGAGCGGAGGCGGCTGGAGCTCCGTGCGCCCCAAGGGGAGCGAGGGCCCCTGACCAGTCACTGCTGGCTGCGAGCGGGAAGCCCAGGCTGAGGGCGAGGCTTCATCCCTGTGGAGATGTCTGTCCGACGCCTTGTCTCACTCCACATGACCAGTTTAGTCACAAGAGCAACCCAGCTCTGGGCTCCTCGAAGGCTTTCCCTGCACCCTGGAGAGTGTCGCTTGTGCTTACAAGGGGCCGCATCACTGTGACCACAGTGCGGGTGCGGGGCCAGGGAGCCCAGCCAGGAGGCCGAGGGCACAGAGCCCCCAACTCCGGGACCTCGCGTTTCTCTGACACGGAGCCTCAGATTTCTGCGGGAAACCCCCCGAGACACGTGCAGGTTGCCGGGGCTAGTGAGACTTGGATGGGGGGCGGCCGTTCTTGGCACGCGCAAGTATCAGACGGGAAGCACCCCGAAGGGCAGAGGCAGGACGAGCACCAATACCGAGTGCAGCCCGGCTGACGCGACCCTCTCCCCGCCTCCTGGGAAACGGGGCGGCCGCGGTACTCACAGCTCGACGTCCTTGCAGAGCTGGTGCGGGAGGCTGAAGCGCATGAGGCCCTGCCACTCCTCGGCCGTGCAGATGCTGTGGTAGGACAGCTTCTCCATGGTGACCCGGTAGATGCACTCCGAGTGCCGGATTCGGTGGTACATCTGCAGCAGACCAGCCGGCAGAGACTCGTCACGAGGGGGCGGGGGGCCGGCTCGCTGGTTTGCTGAGCTCGGGGGTCACACCTGCCGACGCTCAGGGTCAGGGGCCACTCCCTAGCCGTGGGACGGCGGGGGACCAGCCTGCGTGGTGCTGGGGTCGGACTCAGATCCCCGTCAAGCAAAGCCTGTGCGCTGCCTGCTGAGCCATCCCACGGGCCCCAGGGAGAATGCTGAGAGTCGAGTCATTGAATTCCAGATATCACTCCGTGGTGGTGGAGAACGGGCACCGGTGGAGGGATGGGGACTTGATCATTATATAATTGAAACCCAAGCACAAAAATTTGTAAGTCTACAACTGCACCCCATGGTGTTTAACTAATAAAAAAAATTAAAATAAATAATAAAAATAAATAATAAAAAATAATAAAATAATAAATAATAATAATAATTTTAAAAATTAAAATAAATTAAATAAATAAATAAATAAATTCCAGATATCAGGATAAGTGATAAGGGCTGGAGTGATAGCACAACGGTAGGGCGTTTGCCTTACACGCGGCCAACATGGCCGACCCGAGTTCGATTCCTCCGCCCCTCTCGGAGAGCCCGGCAAGCTACCGAGAGTATTCGATGTGCCAGACACAGTAACAACAAAGTCTCCAATGGAGACGTTACTGGGCCCGCTCGAGCAAATCGATGATCAATGGGAGGGCCCTTACTTTCTTTACTTACTTTATCAGGATAAGTGTCAGAATCATAATTAAAATGATTACTATCCATTAACTCTACTTCCATTTCCACGTATACTGAAGAGTCCCGATCCCGTGGCTAAGAAGACACACAGCTGTGCTTTAGAGATAGATGTCTATTTTAAATGATAAGCGTCATAATTCTGACACTTAACTGACGCGTATTAAGAGCTCAGCAAAGGTCACTTCTCTAGACAGTATCTCCAGGGAGCGAGATCACGTGATATCTATCTGCTACTGCCGTATTCTTGGAATCACCACCAGAGTGGCGTGAGGAAAACGACTGTTGTCTACAAGCCACGAGTCTCTGGTATTTGGTGAAGGCAGCCTGAACAGACCGAGACAGAGCCTAAATGGATCAAGAGCTCCACCGTGGAATATTATACAGCTAGAAGGAATGATGAAATCATGCAATTCCCTGCAACATGGATGAAGCTGAGAGAGAGCATGCTAAATGAAGTCAGCCAGAAGGCGGACCAACACAGATGATCTTGCATGTATGTGACGTTTAGAATCATCGGACAGGGTAAATGCTGTGGTTTAGGGGGGGAGCCTGGGTCATGGCCAGAGTATAGGGAGGAGGAAGAAGAAAGAGGAGGGGAAGGGGAAGCAGATGAGAAGCGGCAGGGCCGGGCCAGAGGGGCCAGGCACATTGGGATGTTAAGGAATGAGAGAGCTAAACATCCAACCCACACTGGGATCGCGAGACCCAAACACTAACCACGAACTCCCGAAGGGGCCGGTGAAGACGGGAGACCAGGACGGGGGCTTAGAGGAGAGGGGCCGCCGAGAGCACTGGTGGGAAAAGGGATCCCTAAAGCTCAGCTCTCAGTAGGTGGCAAGTCACAGTGCTTCCGTGAAATAAAATTCCCTAAGAAGAGCTAAGAAGTTCATTTCCCGTCTTCTTTTGCAAAACATGCAGCTTCATTTACATGCTCTCAAAGCACTCGGACTCAGCATCTCCAAACATAAACCATCCCGACGAAATGTCCAATTACAAAGTATTTTCATTCTTTCATTCAAGCTTTTGTCTTATTAGAGCACCGTGAATTATAAAGTCATTCACAGTTGTTTTTTGACATGATGAAGTTTTTTTCCCTTTCCCTTACAGAAACAAAGATTGTCACTGTCCTCCCATTGTTCATCGATTTGCTCGAGCGGGCCCAGTAACGTCTCCATCATGAAACTTTGTTGTTACTGTGTTTGGCATATTGAATCCATCACGGGGAGCTTGCCAGGCCCTGCCATGCAGGCGAGATCCTCTCGGTAGCTTGCCGGGCTCTCTGAGGGGGGCGGAAGAATTGAACTCAGGTCGGCCATGTTGGCTGCTTTCAAGGCAAATGCCCTACCCATTGTGCTATCGCTCCAGCCCACAGAAACAAAAATTGGGAGGCAACAAGTAGTAAAATATAATAGATTTTCTTTGAAAGTTATGAGAAGGGTGTGTGTGTGGAGGGGGGCGTAGAGAGAGACAGAGACAGAGAGAGACAGAGAGAGAATACAGCCTTCTCCAATGGTGGAGAGCACCCCCAGGACATCCAATGTTCAAGTATGAAGACACAAAAGCAAACATTTCAAGAGTGCGACGCAGTCACCCGTGCTTGGGCCCCACGTGGCAGCAGCCCCACGGGCAATGCGTGGCTGGTCTCCTATATGGAGCCCTCGAGTTGCACTGCTAATTGGGATCCTTTAAGTTAGTGGAAACACATTTAGCCATCATGTGGATGACTAGCACAGAAGCACACCATGTCAGCCCGGCATTATATTCTAATGCACAAACTCAGAAGTTCAAACATGGAAGTGTTACAAGTGTGCTTTTAAAATATCTTATTACTGAGGGTGGCTCTTTGTTTCTATATATTACAAATGCATCTGTGAAAATGAAAACACTGAAATGTCCTGTATCTTATTAACCATAAAGCCTTTTCTTCAATGCTCAGAGTTGGTAGCACCAAGCGTGGTTCCGTCTATTTATTTCAGCATTTATGTACCCAGAGAGGCTGTCCCTGAGAGGCAGGACAAGAAATGGGCGAACACAGATGGATAAAGGCACTGTTAGCTGTTTCGAACTGTATCACTGTATCACTGTCATCCCATTGGTTGTCCAATTACTCGAGCGGACACCAGTAACGTCTCTATTCCTCCCAGCCCTGAGATTTTAGCGGCCTCTTCTTACTTGTCTTTTCCCAACGATTAGAGGCTCTTTCAGGGTCAGGGGAATGAGACCTGTTGTCGTTACTGTATTTGGCATATTGAATATACCACGGGGAGCTTGCCAGGCTCTGCCTGTGAGGGCAGGATACTCTTGGTAGCTTGCCAGCCTCTCCGAGAGGCATAAGCTGTTTCAAACATTTAAATAAAATAGTTTTAGTCTCTAACCCCTAATATTTTTGGCTAAAATTTTAACTTATTTCTATTTTCCCTCATGTCAATCACCAAATCCTATAAGCCAATCAAATGTACCTTCTATACTATCAAATGGCTTCCCAACCAACAGAGGCCAATGGTGCAGGGGCCGAGACGGTGCACTAGGTAGGGTGCCCACCTACACACCGCTGATCCAGTACGGGTCCAAAACACACCCTCCCCCTCAAGAGTCAATGAAAGTCATGATCAGAGAGACTAATCAGTTCAATGTCACTTCATAAAATAAATCATAAAAAATATCGTACTTTTAAAAAATACAGAAGGGAATAGGTGGAACAACAGAAGGGGGAGAAGGATTAAAAGATTTTACACCTCTGTGAAAATCGGAGTGAGCTGCGTTTCCTGACAAAAAGACCAGGACGGTCAGAACGAGTAAAGGACCAAGACTCTCACTGTAAGCGTGAAGCCCTTGGGGGCAAGGACTGAGCAGCGGGGCCAGTGGCAGGACAGGAGGGCACGTGTATCCAATCAGACCCAGGCGGGGAGAGGATATCCTCCTCAGGACAGGGCGGCTGGACAGGACACACCAGGCCCCAACACTGTCCGATGGCCACAAAAGGCACAGAGGCGGGCAGTGAGGCCTGAGGACGACCTGGCGTCCGTCTTCATTAGCACTGGCCCTACCATGCACCAAAGTGAAACATTACCATCAGCTAAGCATACAAACCCAAGCTACAAAACTCGTGGAAACGAGAAGCCCGGGAGAAACTCTGCACTGGTGCGCTGGGGATATGGTTCTTTGGTGCGATGCTGGATTGTGATCAAGGGAGGGAGCACCAACGCTCCCCTCAGGATGGAAAACTGCTCCAGAGAGAAGCTGTCAGGAACACAGAGAATTAAACAAAACGGCCCACTGGGAAGAAATATTCGCATAATAAAAAGTACCTGAAAATCCACTTTTATCGAAGATACAGAAAGAGCTATCCAAACCTGGCCATGACAAAATGATCACAAACATAACCCAGAAGAGATTTGGGAAGACACAGAGATGGCAGAGGTGGAGGAAGCGGAACGGACGGCGGGTGCCTGGCCGCCAAGGGGCCTGTCCACTCTGGAGGCAGTTCTGCACTTCGCTGAAGGTTATCTGCACCCACAAAGGTCCGTCTGGTGCTGCCCCAGGGAGCTGAGAGGTGGCCACAGAGACTGACACAGCGGAGTCTCCCCGGCCTCTGAGCGAGCAGCCCCCCGTGAAAGCCACCCGCAGGCAGCCCACAGTCTGGGAAAACCATGGGTCAGACTTCTACACCATGGCGGAGGAAAGGACTGACTGTGCGTGGGACTCCACCGCAAATCTCAAACTCGTTCTATTGAGAGCACGCAGCCAGATCAGCGCAGGCATGGTATGATTCCATCATGTGAAGTCACCCTAGAAACAGCAAGGGATATGCACGGATGATAGGCAAGTTGAGGGTGATAAACCACCGGGGTGCGAGAGGAAGGATGGTGGGAGAGTAAGGAAGAGGAATCCCAGAGGGGCCCAGAGAACTGGTGGGGGGTGGATGTTTCGTTCTGCCGATGGTAGAGTGGAGACTCACTGCACTGTGCTCGCAACCCACCTTCAGTGCGGAATGCACCTATAACCCAACTCTGTTATTTAAAAATTGTCCAGCTCCCAGAATTGTTAAAGGCATGTGATGATTGGTGCCCTTGTTACACACATTTCAGGAAAAGAGGTCTCAGAACAGTGAGGAAATGTGAAAACAGCCGTTTCCAAAGTGTTTCTACCCGAAGACCTCCAGAACCAGCCACAGCCATGCCTAAGACCACTCTCCACACGTTCAGACAAGCCTCATGCATGAAGGAACCAGCAGAGGCATATGGGACCCA